TGACTTCAAAAAGCCCTGGTAACGAAGGTCTGTATTTTAGACAGAGCAGACTTGGCCACGCACGCAGAGTCCCTCATCTCACAGCACCCCTGGTGATGTGCGGGCAGTGGCATCTGGAACATCAGTGTGGCTGGCTGGTAGGAACCATGGGAATTAAACACCTTCAGAAAACACAAATAAAGGAGAGACAGGGCCCATGTTAAGTAATCTTTAAAAACAGAAATTGAACAAGGATGAGTACAGCTTCTGTTTTAAAAGAAAGGCTATTATTAGGGAATTCTCAGAGGCCAGGCTACCAAAGAGCACAGACTCCAGTGAAGAATGGACAAGGTGACAGGTCCAGTTCCATCTCAGGCCAAAGTACATATCTAAATAAATTCTAGGGTTACTTTGTTGTTGTTATGTGCCATTGAGTCAGACCTGACTCATAGCGACCCTTCCTTGGGTTTCCGAGGCAGTATCACTACGGAAGTAGATTGCCCCATCTTCCTTCTGAGGAGTGGCTGGTGGGTTTGAACCGCCAGCCTTCTGGTTAGCAGTCAAGTGCCTTAGGCACTATGCTACCAGAGCTCCCAGGGTTACTTTAGACAGTTCATATAGCGAATTTTCAGAGCCATGACCACTTGTGATTCTCCCAATCACTTCAATAAGGTAAATACGATCTACTCCATCTTATAGATAATAAAACCAAGGCTGAGAGAGGTGAAATAACTTGTCTAAAGTCACACAGCCAGTAAATCACTGGTTCAATCCCTGGACTACTGGTCCCAGGATGACACTTTCCAGTAGGCCATGAGCTTCCCAGAGGAATCTCATGTTTCTAGCCCAAAATAGGTTTCCTTCCCCTTCTACAACAAAAATAAAATCACTTCACTCTAACTTAAACCTTCCTCTGAAATTCAGTCTTAGATTATGGGCTTACTTCTTTATCATGCTGTTACACGTGTGCCTACCATGTGCAACGTTCTAAAGCCCTACCTCTTCCTGAACAACTCCTCCAACTGCCTGCTCTACATCTGTAGTTGGGATTCTAAACTGGCATTCCAAACTTGCTGATGACTAAAACCTAACTTTCTCCAGCCAAACTTATTGCCCCTCAACGGCCCCCCATCTCATTTGATGGCAACTCTATCCTTCCAATTCCTTAGGCAGAAATCTTGGGTTCATCCTTGACTCACACATCCAACTCAGTCCTGTTGGCTCTAACTTTAAGCAAATCCAATCATCCCCTACCCTCCCAAGCCACCACGGTCTCATCTGGATTATTACCACCCACCACCACCACCACCACCACCAAACTGCCGTGGAGTGGGATCTGACTCATAGAGACCCTTCCTTGGGTTTCCACAGCCTCCTACTTTATCCCCTCACTTACACCCTGGCCCCCTATAGTTTATTCCTAGCACTAGAGTCAAAGTTATCCTTGCAAAAGATCAGATGTCACACAACTAGAAACAATGACTTCCCATCTCACGCAAGAATAAAAGCAAAAATCCTTCACCTAATTGACTCCAGGTTACCTCTCTAGCTCCTTTCTCTCTTCCTTGCTCAGTCTCTAGGCCAATATACTGGCTGTTCCCTGTCTGGGATGGTCTTTTCCTAGAAACCCTCATGTCTCACTCCTTCCAACTCCTAACCTTTGCTCAAATGTCAAAGGCTCAAGGAGACCCACCCTGACAGCTTCTATTTAAAAGTAAAATTACCTCTATCACCCACCTCCCAGCCTTCTGATCTCCTTTACCATACCCTACACTTTTTTTCCCCATGGCACTTACTTTCTCACATACTAAAAATCATTTACTTATGCTAACTGTCTCCACAAGGGCAAGAATTTCTTTTGTTCTGTTTGCTGAGCTATCTTCCATGCCTACACAGGATCTGGCAACCAGTCTTCCAATAAATATGCTGAATGGGTAAAAGGAATTAGTTTCTCTAAAAAAATCCTGATGGGAGTGGGAAGACTGGTGAATGGTCCCTCCCTACTCAAGTCTGATTCTACAACCGTACCAGATATAGATACAGCTCATTTGTACCACAACTGGTTTGAAACCTTTGACACCGTAAGGCTTGGCTCCCTGTCATACAGACCTGGGCACAGGCTCATAATTCTAATTACCAGAGATAGGAAAAGGCCAAGCAGGCTACGGTTAAACAGGTACCACCTGGACTACAGTGATTAGCTATCAGAGCCACAAAATGAATTAACCCTTACCAGTAACCAAATTCCTAATCTTTCCCTCTCTCTTCAAGGTCATCTCATTTTTCATAGATAAAGGAACCATTCCTATTTAGCTAGTTCCTATTTAGCTAAAACATTACCTGGGAGCCTTGATCTCATTTAGATGTGACAACTCCATAACCCCAACCCAAATCAAGTCTCTTTGAATGACAAAGGAGCTCTGGTGGTATAATGGCTAAGGCATTCAGCTGCTAACCAAAAGGTCAGTGGTCCCAACCACAATGCAGATGAAACAACTGTGCTTCAGCAAAGATTCACATAGCCTTGGAAACCCAATGGGGCAGTTCTACTCTGTCCTACAGAGTCACTATGAGTCAGAATCTACTCAATGGCAGTAGGTTTTCAATGACAACCTTCTTCCCCCAGGGCAAACTCAAATTCTAGGTCTTTCAAAAGAAAAAGATGAAATGGAAATGGGAAGTGGTGGCATAAAACACAACCAGAACACTACTGAGCCTACCCTTTTTAGTTTCTAACATGGTGTTTTTTTTTGTTATGTGCCATCGAGTCATACCCGACTCACAGCAACCCTTCCTTGGGTTTCCAAGGATGTATCACTACGGAAATAGATTGCCCAACCTTCCTTCCGAGGAGTGGTTGGTGGGTTTGAACCACCAGCCTTCTGGTTAGCAGTCAAATGCCTTAGGCACTACGCTACATGGTAGGCACCCCAAATCTTTGGGGTATGGTATTAGCCCATTCACTGGGCAGTAGGGCAAACTGCCCTGGCACATGGCACTCAATAAATGTTTGCAGAATCAAAGAATTAAACCGAGTGATTCACTCCATAAATAAGTTCGCTGAGAACGTGATAAATGTAACCCAGTTCAACTTTATTAACCAAGTCCAAGGAGAAATTTGAGGGTGATGAAAGAAGAGGACACCTTCCTTGTGGCCACTGGAATCAGCACCATCCCCCCATCACCTCATCTCCGTTTCAGCTTACAAGGAGGCGAGGGAAGGCAAGGATATGATACATCTGAGCTTAATTTAGAAGATCTGCGGAAAATTACTGAACCCTCTGCAGGATTATGAAGATGAAACAAACTGGTACATGTGAAAATACCTAGCATACATGATGGTCAATGTTGTTTACCCCCCCTTCCCACAAAACAAGGCTGAGAATCCCTGTTAAGGAAAACGATTCAAATCTGACTAATACACTAGCCCACATTTGTGTCTACTGCCATTAATCTCCCAATGTCTACTTGTCTTCCTCTACCTCCATATTCAGCCAGTTGTCTTGCCAATACTCCTCTCTGAAGACCCAGGCACTCCTCCCCTCAGTGCGAATGTCAAGTTCCACAACTTCTCTTACTACAATAGCAAGAAAATTAGTCTCCTATTCTACAGTCTTTCTTCTAACACACACTGTATTTGCTGAAAGACCAATGGTTTCCTTAACGCCGCAAGAGTTGTCCTATTATCCTTCTGCTCTAGTCCTTCAGATGGCTTCCAAATACCTTGTCGTTGTTATGTGCCCTCGAGTTGGACCCGACTCATAGCGACCCCTCCTTGGGTTTCCGAGGCAGTATCACTACCGAAGTAGACTGCCCCATCTTCCTTCTGAGGAGTGGCTGGTGGATTTGAACCGTGAGCCTTCTGGTTAGCAGTCAAGTGCCTTAGCCACTATGGTACCAGAGCTCCCTCCAAATACCTTAGTCAAGGTCAAATCCCAGGATTCCTTTTTCACCTAATTTCTGCTATCTCCCTTTCCCACACATCTCAGACTCCGGTCCTTCTGAACCACTGCTGCTGTTCCCAGTGAACATGCTGAATTTCCTACCTTAAGCTCTGTGTCCACTGGACCTGGCAGGACTCTGCTCTCTGCTCTCCCGTGTCTGTGTCCCTCACTATCCCAAACTGGTCTAGTCTCTCACATGTGCCAGGCTCCCTCTGGCTTCAGGTCCTACACAGAGGCTAGTCCCTCTGCCTGAAATGCTCTCCTCTGCCCCCAGTTCCCTACTGTCCTCAAGGGACACTATCCTCTGAAAATCAATTTCCCTTAATACCTCTTCTCTTCCATTATAAAACTAAGATAAATATGGATTAATGTTTATTTTGCCAGCTAAACTGCAGGATTCACAAGGATGGGGAAAGTCTCTAGCTTTGCTCTCCACTGTCACCCCAGAGTCTAGCACAAATGAAAAACCCTTCTGAAAAAATATAATAAGCAAAGATTTCTATGTAAGAATATTCACTAATACATCCTTCATATTATCTAAAATCTGGTATCAAAATGTTATCAAAAAGTAGAATGACTACATGATAGTACATATAATGAAGTCTCATACAATCACTGTAAACCACACTTTCAAAGAAATAATGACATGAAGAGTTGCTCAGGTCAGTGTGGTGACAAGAACAGGAAACAATACTGCAACTTATCTAGAAGCATCATCTGAACTATGAAGAACTGGATATGTGAGTAGGGATACGACTTTTCTGAAAAATTGCCTGTACCTCTTTTGCACATTTTCTGTATATGAGCATTTATTACTTGATCTGCTCAAATGCAACCTCCTCTAAGAAGACTTCTCCAGACTTTCAAATATTCCTAAGTAGCTCCTCATTGAGACTTCAGGGTGGGGAGGGCATCTTTGATAGCAATTACTGAGTTCCCTTCAACTATATCTCTTCCCCCAACTCTATATCCAGCCCGGGGCCCAGGATGAAGAACCCAGTTCAGTGAATGCACATAGAGAATAAAAAGTAAGTACTCACCTAGTTTAAAAACACCCAAGATGCTTTGCCCTGAATTTTAAGCAGCACATGTGACCTGGTCCATTCTGGTTTCAAGTTCAAAGGCATCAGGCCGGTCCTGTGGGTTAGCAGCTAACATATCTTTCAAGAGCTGCTTGATCCCCTCAGACATGGAAGTCCTGCGTTTCTGGGGGATGTGCAACTCCATCTTTGGGTTTTCTAGCAGCGCCTCACCGACCGGGACAATCTCGGTCCCCTGTTTGATGTAGGTCCCCAGGAGCTCCTTCTTGGTCTCCGAGTCAATGAACGTGATTCGCTCTATCATTGCCCAGATGATAATGCCCAGGGCAAAGATGTCAGCCTTAGCTGTGTAGTGTCCCTCCCAGACCTCGGGGGCCATGTAGAAATCTGAGCCACAGGCCGAGGATAGCCAGTACTTATTCACATTCACATTTTTGTTGTCTTGATTGCCCTCTTTGCCTCGTGGGGCCAGCCCAGCACAGACCTTGCTTAGTCCAAAGTCGGCCACCTTGAGGATGGGGGTGCCAGACCGCTCCGTGATGAGGATGTTGTCTGGCTTTAGGTCCCTGTGCACGATGTGGTTTTTGTGCAAGAAGGCTATGGCGCTCGTGAGCTGTAGCATGAAGCTTTTGTTAGTTGCTGGGTCTGGCCTCCGAGACAGGACGTACTGATTCAGGTCTCCACCTTCACAGAACTCCATGACAAACCAGAGATAGCAGGGCTCCTCAGCATAACCCAGGATCCTTTCCCCTAAAGAGAGGAAGACAGGAGAGCATTTGAGATGGGCACGTTCACACGACTTTTAGACTAAAAGAATGCAGCGTATGACAGTAAGAGTGACAGTGGGGATAAACAATTGCTCTAAGACCAGAACAACTGGCACTGACCCCACTCTACCCACTTAAGCCCTAGGTCTCTCACTCACACAGGATGTCAAAATATAACACAGGCAGCAGGGACTGGTGTCAAGCACATGGGTTTGGAATTAAGAGTGTCTGGCTGAGAACTATGGTTTTACTGAGTGCTGAGTTTACTGGTAATTTAGTTCTCCTTTGTGAGCTTGTATTTCTGCTTCTTCACTTTTAAATGGTCATGTGAAACCACCTAATGAGTGTCTACACTGGCACTTCATCTTCAATGTAAGGCTTACCACCATTCTATGAAGTAGGAGCAAACAGTCCTATCTTACAAAATGAAGACGCTGATGCTCAGGGAGTCTGAGATCTAAGAGAATCTAATCCATTTGACTGTGAAGCCTTTTGGTTTTACTATACTGTCTCCCAACAGGCAGCATCATACCACTCACCCTCCCTGAGCTGCTGGGAGGATGAGACAAGGTAAAGCCCATGGCAGGAAAGCACTACACAAATGTATGTTACTAGCACCACTCACCATTACTCCAAATCAGGCAAATGACCTTCCCTCTCTTCTCCCCTGACCTATATTTATTAATACACCTAGAATAGCACTAAAATTTTCTTCACCTACTTCAGAGACATACTCCAAATTCACCAATATTTTCTGCTAACCCACCATATGCCTAGCACAAGTTAGATACATAACATGCCCAACTCTAGGAAGCTTTGCTTCCAGGAGATAACAGGTGCTACAACAGCAACTATTATGGACTGACATGTAATCAAGTGGCTGTACATCTGGCGCCAAGGTAAATTTCTACTAACAGCGAAGGGTGGCAGGAGTTGCTAGAGCTGCCAGAATCAGAAGAGGCAGCACCTGAGTTACCCTTTGAAGGACAGAAGTAGAGCAGAAAGGAGAAGCAAGAAGACAATTCCAAGGTGAAAGGCAGAATGGATAAAAGACAGAGGGAGAAATGCACCAACCAAGTCCACTGCCATCAGGTCAATCCCAACTCCTAGTAACCCTGTAGGACAGGAGAACTGCCCCATAGGGTCTCCAAGGCTATAATCTACAGAAAGACTGCCCCATCTTTCTCCTGCAGAACCGCAGGTGGGTTCAAAGTCTCTGTTGGCAATAAGTGCTTTAACCACTGCACCAACAGTGCTCCTAGAAATGTAAACAGGAGGTCTCATGGGAACAGGAGTCTGAAGTAGTTAAGTATAATGTGGAGTCAAGTTATGTGGGATTGAAACTCCAGGTCTGCCTTTTCTTCTAGTCCAAAGACTCCAGAAAAGCTGTGACTGGCACCTCCAAACAAGTCCCGATACTCTTGATAAAGCAATTAGCAGCAGCCCTTATGTAGAAGTTATCTGATAACTGGAACCAGCCTATAAGTTAAGCGTAAGCAGGCAGATGTCTCATCTTGCTGATGAGGAGGGCTGGGCCTGCACGTGCAGAGTCTCATACTGGGTGGTCTCATGGTTCATTGCTAACACAGCCAGGGCCAGAAGACAAGTCTCCCAACCCCCAGTGTGATGTCTCCATTCTACCAAAAACAAGGGCAGCACCTCCTACAGAAACTGCCAGAGGGACCCTGACTAGCCATTTATTCTATTTTATTACAAAGAAAGGGAACACTCAGGATGACACTCCAATATACCCAAAACCACCAAGGCACACAGCCTATCAAAGCTGGTGGTTAGGAAGTTGTAGGTAGAGCCATGAACATAGTGTGATGGACAAGGCAAAAGCTTTGGGTTTCTGACCACAATCTGACAGGCCTCACCTCCCTTGCAATTATATAATTTGTTGATATCACTACAATCAAAGTAATACAGGTAGAACCAATTTAAGGCATATGGGTTTTTTAAATCAGCTGTTCTCCTCTCATAATCCTTTCTAGATCAATGGACTGCTGTTGCTACGTGCCATCTGTCAAGTCGAAGAGTCGGACAGACTCATAGCGACCCCTCCTCCTTGAGTTTCTGAGGCAGAATCATAATGGAACTAGATTGCCCAACCTTCCTTCCGAGGAGTGACTGATGGGTTTGAACCTCCAGCCTTCTGGTTAGCAGTCAAGTGCCTTAGGCACTACGCTACCAGAGTTCCCAGAACAATGGACTAAGGCTCTCAAACTCAGGGCAGTACATACAAAATGAAGTAGCAATTGGAAACCCAAATCCACCTAGGTTCTAGAGTATCAAAAAAAGCCAAACCAAACTCACTACTCTAGAGTCGATTCAGACTCCTAGCGACCCCACTGGGTTTGTAAGGCTGTGAATCTTCCTGGAAGCAGATCGTCCCTTCCTTCTCCTATGCTGCCACTGGGGGGTTTGAACCTCCAACTTTTTAGTTACCAGCGAAATGCCTTAACCAGTACACCACCAGAGCGCCTTAGATTCTAGAATAATAGCCCATAAAAAGGAGAACAAGAATGTTCACTGGTAGAGCCAGAAAGAAAAAGATTAAAAAGTCATCAAATTCCTTTTGCAAAAGTCTCACCAGAAAATAGTGAAAAACTTTTGGTGGGAGGGTAAAGGGTGTGGAATGACTATTTTATATACAAAGCTGGTAACCATGGCAACTGAAGTAAAAGAAAACAAGTCTGCAAAACAGACTCTAAGTCTAGGCTATGAGATTGGGGGGGGTGGGGAGAGGATAAAAATGTGCCCACGTTAGTGAGCAGGTGGGTGGGTAGATGGGACCCTGGGCTGGGAAGCTTGCCCTGGGGAAGTGAGCTAAGCTCAGGAGACACTAAGGGAGGAGTTGTCGCTTGAGAGGAAAACAGTGGGCAGGAAGAAGCATTTTCAAAACCAGACAGAGCACTGGTGAGCATGACAGAATGGAAAATGGGGGAACGCAGCCGCTTGTCCCAGAGATAAAAGTATTTCTTTGCAGGGGCCAGGACCTTGGACTTATTTCATTAAATCAACTTCCTGAGAAGCTGGACTGTGTGTTTTCATGGGGGAGCCCCCAGCTACCCATGAGACAACATAAGAGGCAAGTCAGAATTCCAGCCCTTCACTCCACGTACATTGCTTCCGGGCCAATCAGCTACCTCACAGCAAGAGCGAGCGAAGGGACGTGGAAAGTACCTGATCCACACCAGGCCTTCGATGCGTTTCTGTGCAAAAGAAGTCAGGGTGAAGTAACGGCAAGGGTGCGGACCTGAAGGCGAGCAGTCTGGGCTCAGACCCCAGCTCTGCCGCCGGTTCACTGGTGGTTTCCTAGTTCGAAGGAAAGCATGAGGAGAGTGACATATGATGGTAAGATGGCCAGAACCCAGGGCTAGTCCCCAAACCTCTCAGGGCCTTGGTCTTTTTGTTGCTTCAGTTTTCTCGTCTATCAAATTAGAGAATGACAAATCACATGATAACTATGAATTCAGTTACAGATGTGAAAAACATTTTGCAGAGTATAAGCTACTTTGGGAGAATCACTCACGAAGCAGTACTAACACTCAACTGAGTCCCAAGAAGTCAAAATTCTTAGTGCCATGGGTCTCAGAATAAAGCTCTCACATTAGGCAAAAGATGGATACAATCCAAAAATGCCCAAACCTGTGTGGGGGCTAGTGAAATTTAGAACAGAGATCGTTCCCTCTACGATATCACTTTCTCAATGACTTAATTGTTGAAACCCATGTTCTAGTCAGTCCAGACCACTTTCTCTCATTTGGGGTGATCCCAAATGTACCTATTAATTTCCTTCTGTAGATACAACTGAAGGTAGACTGTAAAGCCCAGCTTCAACGTTCCCTACACTTTACACTTGCCTCATCTGCCAGGTAACTGCCCTCCTCAGACCAGTCAAGGCCCTAGTTTTGTATCTCAATTTTAATTTTTATTCAATGAGATGGATCAGATATTTTGGTTTGTAACTCAAGGCTTAACTTCTCTACTTAACCAGGTGCCTGATCCAAGCCATGGTGTTTTCAATCGCCTCATATGCATGTGAAGGCTGGACAGTGAATAAGGAAGCTGAAAATACCATGGACTGCCAGAAGAACGAATGAACCAATCTGTCCTGGAAGAAGTACAGCTGGAATGATCCTTAGAAGCAAGAACAGCCAGACAATACCGTAAGAGCTTTGATAAGGGAGGGACTCCCAGGAAAAGAAAATTTGTAAAATTTGTAAGTCTATTCCCAAGCCTCCTGCAGAAGTTAGGTTTCCAGGTTCTAGTCTATTCCATTCAGACTTTTTCTGAGCATGCATTACCTGTCAGACACAGAGATTACTGTGACTAAGTCAACTTCTGATGTTAAAATGTAAAAGAATATGCCTTAGAATCAACTGAACAAGTCCCCTCTGGAGGCAAGAGGGGTTGAAGATGGCAGAATGACTACCAAGGAGGTTCTGAAACCCAAAAAAGAAGGAAGGAGAGAAAGAAATTGTAGAAAGGTTCTAGAGATTTAATATCAACAGAACTTAGAAACGTGTCACATCATTTCATATCAAGACTTACTGCCCTAAAGTCGATTCTGACTCACAGTGCCCTTACAGGACAGAGCAAATTGCCTCATGGATTTCCAAGGCTGTGAATCTTTATGGAAGTTTGGAACTGCCATCCTTTCTTGGTTAGTAGGCGAGCACTCAACCACTGTTCCACCAGGGCTCCCCCTCCTGAATTGTTATAGAAATTCAGAGAATACTCTAGATAATCCTCTCTTCTTACTCCAAAGTCCTATTCATTCAGATGATAATTTCCTTAGATCAGTTAATAAGCATTTGTAAAGTGTCTGCATGGATTAATTCATTATTTAATCCTCACAACAATCTGATGAGACAGGTACTATTATCTCCTTTCATAGGTGAGAAAAGAGAAACTCAGAAGGTTAAATACAGACTCACAGCTAGTTTGGTTAAGGGCAGGACTGGGAGTCTCCATAAC